GTGTGTGTGTGTGTGTGTGTGTGTGTGTGTGTTTCTGGTGCGTGGGGTGTCACTTCAGCTGTATTGGGGTCAGGTTGGGAAATATAGAAGCTTCCAGGCACTCAGCACGTAATAGAAAATCTATTTCGCTCAAAGTGAGGAGAGGGAACGAAAGAGTGGAGAACAAATGAAAGAGAGGAGAGGAGGAGGGGACAGGTGACCAAAAGATAATGGTGAGGGGGAGGAGGAGAGAGTGGAGGGAGGAAGAAACAGAGAATAAAGGAGATATAATTTCAAAAAGGTGGAGTGTGAGACAGTGGGGGAGGCGGTGGAGGTGAGGGAAGGACAAAACCAGCGGTGGAGGGTGAAGAGGAATCGCTGCCGTCCTAAGTGGATAAAAAGCAAAAGAGACAGCGGAGAACAGTTCATTTTTCTGTCCTATAAAGACTTCCTCCCTGCATTATCCAGTTCCCACTGATCTGCCACACTGCGTTTCCTTTACTGTGATCTCTTCTTGAAACTGACTGCAAGGCTATAGCACTCTCTGAAATAAATGTATATAGACATGCATACATATAACCTTGAGTATTTCGTACGCCATTCCTCTTTGGTAAATACTTTTAAAGTGGTTGCATCCTTATTCTGGTTTGAGCTACAGTCACCTTAAAGTAGATTATTTCTACAAGCAAGGACAATTATAAAACAGCATTAATGATTATTTGAACACTAAATTCACATTATTGTTACTGAATAATGATAATTGATAGATTGATTTAAGTTTGTTTTACGTCTCTTGTTCATTTATGCGAAAGTTCTTCGCTATTCTTAGCTAGGACTCCCAAGTATTGATTGAGAATCTCATTGTCAATAGTCTCAATATTCCGGGTAAAAAATAAAATAAAAAATAAATTCTTTCTATAAGGAGTACATTGTTTTTTTATCATAGCAAAAAAATAAAGCGTTAAGAGAGTCAAACACATTGCAGTCAAACATTTAAAAAATGCATAGCGTACGCATAAATTGATATTCTTCTATTTTTGCTTTCAGTACATTGAAGTAATAAAAATAGGACTGAGACTGCCAAGGCACACNGGGTAAAAAAAAAAAAAAAAATGCTTTCTATAAGGAGTACATTGTTTTTTTATCATAGGAAAAAAAATAAAGCGTTAAGAGAGTCAAACACATTGCAGTCAAACATTTAAAAAATGCATAGCGTACGCATAAATTGATATTCTTCTATTTTTGCTTTCAGTACATTGAAGTAATAAAATGGAATGTTTATCATTGTTGTCGTTGATTGTGTTGTTTTTCTTATTTCAACCATCACAAAATATGACTACTACTCTTACTGTTTAACATTTTGGGTTACTTTATGTTACTTCATATTAGGGCTAATAAAAATGACAAGGCTGTAATGCTAACTAACGTGCTAGCTACTAGCTAGGTTGCTAACTTGATCCAGCCACTCCTGGTCCTTTCATCAGACGGGAAGCGAAAGAACGAGCAAGACCCATTGCTGGTATGATAACAACATTGTACTAAGCACACAGGCGTCTTGTTAAAGTTATCTTATCTTAGCCAGCGCCATATAGATAGATTATATCTAAATGGCGCCGCTCTTAGCTATCTCTTAGTGGAGGAAAACAATTGTGAAATCACTTACGCGACTCTGGGATTTGTAGTCTTTCTAGTTGCGTATTTTTCATAGTCTTATATTTCAACAGTTTTACGACAAACTGTGACTGTGATGGAAATGATTTTTTAAGATTGACAAAAATCATATGTGTAATTCATGGCACAATTCAAACAGGATTGAAAGATACATTTTCTCTCTCCATTGACTTCAATACATTATTTTTCCGAAATAAAGTCCCATGGACCGGAAGTAGATGGGCGTGACTTCGCCACTCTATATATATCTATGTGGAAAATCCACCCAAATGACCCCAGAAGTGGTTTTTTTTGTTGCTAAACCTCTCTCCAAAGGTCACATGTCACTTGTTTTGCATCAATCTTGATACAGGGTACTTATTATATGTTATAGTTTGGATTTCTAAAATGTTTAGTCTACTATCCCATCATTCAAGGGTGGTTTCCACTATAAGTAATGTTTATTGTATTGTTAATTTTTTTTGGACGGACACCATAATTTAATTTTTTTTACTATGTTCAATCTGAATTGACTTTAAAATAAAAACATCTATATTGATTCTGACTTTTCTACATCCAAAGGTTTATCATTGGTTTGAGAAAAAAGATTATTTATTTACCCCTTTTAGAAGTGAAGATATAGTCATTTGTTCTGGGAATGTAATCTTCGAGCCTGAGGCCTGAAAAACAGGCTCAGGGCTTAACAGGTTAAAGCTCTAAAATTGCAAGATGGTGAGAACACACTGATGTGCACTTAACACGCATATTACACCTCACAGTATTGACCTTGCGCTGAGTTTTACAGTGTTTCCGTAAAAACAGTAGCAGCGTTTCACTGCTTTAATGACGGGCTTTTTACTTCTCAAGGGCCTATTTGTTTTGTTATGTGAGAGCTTGATTTGTGTTGTGAACACCAATGCTTTTTGGTGTAATTGACGTGAAGGAAAAGCTTGTGTTTTTATTTTTATGACCATTGGAGCAGCTGTGAAACTGTCACTACTTTCACACCAACCAGAGAAGAGTACTTGGACAAACGACTCCTTCATTTGTGGTAAAAGGCTTAATAATTAGACTTGGAAATCACTTTGAATCCTCAGATATTATTGTTATTTCTGTCTCTGAAAAGTTCATTTTCAACTTTCTTTCACTGAAAAAAACTAAATGAAACAAAACTAACACAAAATAAGTTGCAAAATATCGTTATTTTGTATATCTCTGTACTTGTAATGCTTTTTGTCAAAACACTCACGACCCTCACAATGACCCTCATCATATGCTTTATGTAAACATCTCTACCGCTAATCCTAACTTTCCAAACGTTTCCTGACTCTTATGGTCTAAAACTCACGTTGATCTAAAAGTAGATAAAAGTACAACAGCATATAAAGCTCAATTGAGATATTACCAGACCAGAAGTAAACTAAAATTAAAGTTTTAATTAGTGGAGCAGAAACAACAAGCAACCACAGAAACACTGTCGCTATAATGCAACACCTCAACCAATTAAAAACGAAAATGAAAACTGTGAAAGTGAAACGACACAAACTGGAGGGACGATACTCCAGATTTAGGGGGAAGAGACGATCAGATGATATGGTGTATTGCTGTGAAGAGCTGAACATTATAATAGGGTGTATAACAGTAACAGAAAGTCTGTCTGTTCTCACAAAATAAGAGCTATTCTGCAACTTATTTTCATGTTGTGTCTTCTTGTGTGTGTTCCTTCAGACGAGGACACCATGGGGCTGAAGACATATATTTTCTGAGATAAAGAAGAAGAAAAAGCTTCAAGTAAGACAGTGAATTGGGGCGGGAAGTGACAGGAAGCTAAGCCATGAAGGTAAAAGAGGCTTTGACTTTATCTCAGATTCATTAGGTGGTAAGAATGTATTTACCTGGCTGATTGTTGTGAACGCTATGGAAAAACTCAGAAGTTAAATATGTGTATTCTCCATTAAAGACCATCATCTACACACTTTTTTTTCAAGTAAACA